ATGCAAAAATTATCTTAGAAATCACGCAAAATATATATATATATATATATATATATATCCGTAGACCTATGAAGGAGAGAACATGTGAATATACATTAGAAAGTCTTAGTTGAGATTCTTGACTTCATTCGTCACTGTTTCATATGCAATACGGTATCTAAAAGTTATTATAAAAATCATCCACAAGAAGTTAGGTGCTATAGAGAAAATAAATAAATAAATTTATATATAATTAAACTTAATAAGTGATGTAATATCAGAAAAGGATAGGCATTAAAGAAAGTGTTTAGTATATAAGAATGTTTATGTAAATTAATTCTTATTATAATATTGTGTTTTCTATTCGGTTAGATGTGCATTCCATGCAAAATTTGATAAACTTTTTTTTTTAAGTTTATAGAAACCAAACCATGATATAATACAAACTTTGATGTGCGTCAGAATTAATTGTAAGAAATATATTCTTTAACACTGAATTATAAATTTGATTAATTATAAGAAACGAGGTTTTCATTTGGGCTATGTTAGATAAAAATTAGCCTTAAAATAATTTCCTTTATATTTAAAATAATCTATCTAATATGTATTTTTTATCCTTGTATGGGGATTTAAGATTTTTTTTCAATCTCTTTCTATGAATTTTAGAATTATTATCTTGATTTCTTAAGTTACTCCAAAGTATTGATTATTGTAGTATTAAAATAAAAATAATAATAATAATAATAATATAAATGAACTGGTTAAAAAGTAATATAGAAATTTGTAAATTAATAAATAAAGGTCATTTGGTCTAAACATATATAAACTAAAAAAATTAATTTATATATAAGCAGTTAAAATAGGTTATGTAATTTTGATTCTTCATAATTTTGGTCAACAAGTTATTAACACAACTTTCATTAATTATGCGCTGCGTAAACATTTGAATGACATTAATTATTTAATTTTGACAAATTAATATGAAACATGTTAATAAAATATCAATTACATCTATAATACTTCTTCCATTTTATAATTTTTATATTTAAGATTTTTACACACTTTTTAATATTTAATGTTAATATGTTAAATTTAAAAATATTTTTATTTAATATTTTGGATTGTGTAGAATAAGAAAAATTATAATTATAAAATAGAAATATTAATTATCAAATAAGAATATATGTGAAAAAAGTAATTATTTAAATGTGTAAAATATAAAAGAAAGTCTAAAACATAAAATAGAAATAAAATTATGATCTGGATGGAGTAAATAATTTGACTTGTAAAAGTAATAACTAAATAATAACAAATTATATAATTATGTGATACAAATTATCTAATTTATTAAAATGTAAGTAATTGAAATTATAATGTTATTATATATGTTAAAAATTAGATTATAAGTAAAAAAAAATTGTTAATACATGTGATTTGACATTGGTATTTTTTAATTAAAGATCAAAATTTAATTTTTATTTTAAATATGATGTCGCAGATGAATCGATCCGATAAAAAGAGTGGTATTTTATAATTATATATATATATATAGATTGTAAGTTGGTGATGGAATTAAAATGGTCGTAAATCAAAATGAAACAATTATAAAGAACAAAATTATTGACACACTAAACTAGAAAAATAAAAAGAGAAATATAATTAACCTTGTTTATTATTAACATTACGCACGTCTTGGAATGTCATATGTTAAAATAGTGGTCCCAATTTTCTTTTTACTATTATTAAAATATTACAAGATAATAACAAGAATCGAATATAATTGTTCATGGATTTATTAACCATTAAATCAATCTTAGTGATTGGAATAGTAGATCAAGGATCTCTAACGAGTGAATTGCACGCACTAAATAGTGGTCCCATTGGTTTTGTGTTACTTGTTTCACAATTCTTTTAGTAAAATATACCCTTTTTTTGGTAAGATAGCGGCAACTTGCTTATCTACGTGATATGGTGGGCACATGTAAACGCGTGACCTGCCGGTTGCCGTCTTTCTTCCG